TGTTTCATAAATTTCATGTATATTATTAATGTTAATAATAATATAAAGGAAAAATTAATTTGCCTAACATAATTAATTTTTTTATTGTAACATGCTATGAAAGAATATAGCGATACTCTTTTGCAAAAAAATCAAAGCACCATGAAGGAAGTGGTTTTTGATGAAATTGAATATGTGTATAGTTCATACACAGATAATAAAATGATTAAAAAATTAAGGTCATAGTACCTGTTCACGGCTCACAATCACCCATTGAGTGTTCAAATTAGTAGTTGGTCAAACCGCCCCTTGCGGCAACGCAGTGCTTGAATTTGTCAAGGCAAGGAGTGATAGAGGTTCCTAATGTCATCCTGCAACACATTTTGCCAGGCATCCATCAGTTGTCACTCCAGATCTGCGATATTTTGTGGTGCCCGAATTTGGCAGCCTACCATGTCCCAGACATGATTGATGAAAGGTCTGGTGACCTTGCTGGCCAAGGAAGAGTATCAACCGCACGGAGACAGTCCAGAGATATGCGAGCGGTATGTGGTCTGGCATTATCTTGTTGGAAAATGGCCCCAGGATGATGTGCGATGAAGGGTAATGAAACCGGCCGCAGGATAATATCAACATATCGTTGATCTGTTAAAGATGTACGAAGGATGACTAAAGATGACTGCTGTCATAAAAAATAGCGACCCACACCATCACACCAGGGGTTATGGCTGATTGGGACCGCTGGCCCCATCTTCTCCAAACACGAACACAGTGGTCATATGCTTCAAGAGTGAAGCAGGATTCATTGCTGGACACTATATGATGGCAGTCTTATGGTAGCCATGATGGTCGGCTGCGACACCTTTCCAGACAACTCCGCTGATGTTGTGGGGTCAATGGCAAACATCTTAAGGGCCTCTGTGAGCGTAACCCTGCCTCAGACAAGCGCCGTGAGATAGTGGGCAGCACCATGGGACGTATAGACGTGGCTGTAGTGCGTAGAATAGTTGACAATAATACCGTTGGGTCGGTTTGGGCCTGGCGAAAAATCATCTTATCCTGCCTCGCATTTGTGATCCTTGGCCTTCCAGAGCCTTCATTTCGTCGGCAATTTCCTTGTAGCAACCATTGCTGCCAACATCTTTGCACAGCAGTGTCTGTATGCTGCAGGTGGCGGCCTATTGCTCAATTTGTGTACCCAGTTTCACGCAACCCTACAATGTGACCACGTTCGAAGTCGTTTAGTTGTCTGTGAGGTCTTCGATGTCGTCGTCATGGCATCTTTAGTTCCTTCTTTACGGAATTACAATGGCAGCAACAAAAAAAGACAAAATTTCCACCTGTGTTGCTGGTTTTATACTTTGCAAATTGCCCACTAGAAATGAATGCTATGATCGCAATTCCTGTTCATTTGCCTTGAAACTTTGATAATTTTCATGTTCGATAAAGTTGTTTTTGCATACCAAATTTCGTCACAATTGCAAAAGGCCTTCTTGCTGCTTCGATTTTTTTTGCGAAAGAGTGTATATTAACCTTATTAATGTATACTCACCAAAACATATTCAACAAGAGACTTCAGATCACTAGTATTAAATTACTGTATTTATAAGGATTGATTTTCCCTTTTCTGGAGTTTTGTTTTCTTTTTGAAATGATCATTACAAACTTTAGTACAGTCAAAAGTCTTTAATCCGGACTTGTCGGGACTTCGGCGATTCCGGATTATCGATTTTTCCGGATTATAGATCATCAGTTTAAATCTGGTAAGATGGCATGCAGAAATTATAAAATTAAAAATATGAAACCGTAATTTATAAAATAATGAGCAATTATGATCTAAAGGGTATCAAAATTTACCAAAAAAGAAACCTAATATTTATTTGTTTACTTTATTAAACATTTCTTTCAACGCGCGGATGCGTAAAGCATACCTTACGCATAGCCGAAATTAGAAAATTGCAACCAGAAAACTATTTGATTTGTATTCCTGATATTTATAATGAGGAGGAATTTGATTTAAATCATATCAAAGACGGAGTACATCGAAATTAAATACTACATTTAGTAAGGAATTATAAGCACAATAAAATAAAAACATCTGCCCTGAAGATAACGATAGTGTTGACAGATCAACTTCCAGTTCATTGCTAGCCGCGACCCCCCCCCCCGCAGAGCAGCGTGAAATTGATAAACAGATTTCCGAACGGTTAGATAAACAAAGGATATGCTTTTATCCATTTTTTGTAGCAATTCGTTTTTTGTTTGATGGACATCGAAACATACTTTCGTTTTCTAGATCCTTTGGGAGCTCCAGCATCGGAAATTCTATTTGACATAATCGAAAGTTCAAGCTTACTTTTAGAAAATTGCTCTTACAGTCTGCAAAAAATAATAAGCCGGATCCAATTCGAAGATTAAGGAACAACGCAATTATCAACATTAACTGAAATAGATAATTTTAGTTTATACCGTCCGTTATACATTAAACGCGCACGCGAAAACGTATTCTGCACTTGCGCACACGCATATGCGCAATAGTCAAGGTCTTACGCGCGCGCGTAAAACGCCTGTGCGCATGTGCCAATGCGGCGCATGCGCAGAAAGTTTTTAGCTTTGAGGTCCGGATTATAGATCATTCCGGATTACGGGTGTCCGAATTAACGACTTTTGACTGTATAATTATTCAATAAAATGTTTGAAACTGTTGATTATCATAACCATCATAGTTTACCAATTTCCATTTTACAGGAACATATTAACTGTATAGATCTAATATTCATGAGATCTAGTTTTCTTCAAGTTTTTGGTTGTTAGCACATAAAAAATCAATTTAATAATGTTCCGAAATAAGTTCTTGAAATATCTTAAATGTACCTGCAATAATGTATACAACAAATTCAATAGGCCTTGTAGTGACCTTGGCACCAGAAAATGTGGTAGGTGCAGTTCAGGCTTAACCCATTTATGAAACCCATTTATTAACCCATTTATGAAAGTATGGTTTGTTGCCAAATGATATAAATATCCATGAAAACGAAGCTGACCGTGGTAAACAAGAAATTGGCAATTCATTCATTATCTATACAACATAAGTTATTTAATATACAGAGAAATAAAAAGAGGGAATTTAGTATAAATTATGTATTTTATCAGCATATTTAAAATAATGTAATTCAACTGAATTTATTTAACCCCTTAACTACTGCGGCCGTATATATACGCCCTGCTCAGCCAATGCGTTAACTGCCCTTGGCTTATATATATACATGCCCTTCCGAAATACTATCATTTGCTTTGCGCTGCTACAAGTGAAATTATTCGCAAAGCTTTAGAATACAACACCACAGTGACCCTGACAAAGTATGCGAAGGAGGATACTATTTCAGAGAAGAGGGAGATTTTCTGAAACTGTGAAAGTAATGACTGCATGGTTATTGCTCATGTTTCTGTTTGAGTAAAGCATAATTTTTTTATTCTGTGTCTTCCATCTTCGTTTACTATTTGTAGTAGATGCTTTTTTTTTTTTACGAATATGTCTGACAGTGAAATAGATGATTTTTTTCCCATCATCTTCATGATTTGATACCTCAGCATATGATATTACGTCAGTTGAAGAGGATTGCAACTATTCTCTTAAAGCTGCTCAATGTTGGGTAAACTTTGATCTGAAAAATATATCTTGTCTATAGCTGCCAACCAATTCAGAAGAAATACATGTTTTTTTTTTAGGTATACTGACTTTACAAGGTATAACATTGAAATTTGATATTGCACTTTACTGGTCTAAAAATAAATTGATCGAAACTCCATTTTGGGGGATGTTTTTTCTTATCTTTTTATTATACAAACATCATTTTTATCATACATCTTTTTAATTATATTTTTACTCTGAACATTAAATTTTGTATTTTCGTTTTTTCTTTTATTCTTAATTTTGTGAAAGTAAGCAGATTTTAGACAGCAAAACTTGCACTTCACATAACTATGCTCGCCTGTGTAAAAAGCGGTGGCACTGGGGAGTATGTATTGTATGTTTTTTGCAGCATGTTTTTAAGAGGTTAATACATACATTAATTGTGTTTAATACAATTATGTGAGCTATTGATTACACTTGATATCATTTTCTTTGCAATTTATTAAGGGGAAGAAATACAGTGCCTGCAGAGTCAGCCTAGTACAATTATGTGAATTGGCTGTTGAAGAGTTCTTTTGTAATGAAATAAAGTATTCCACACTCCATGACTTGGACCGAGGTTCTGTCTTGAAAAGGGCCAATACAAATCTCTCACATTGCACTGCTGATTCAACCCATAGATGTTGCCACAAGCAAGCTTCTGTTAAAACACTGAAAAGCCCAGCAACAGCAAACCCATCAATCAACAATTGCTGCACCCACCTATAAACATTTTGGAAAAGTCATTTCGTACTGACTTTTTGGTGGCCACAATTCAACGACTGTTGCACATTATCCCTCATTCATCAACTTCAGCTTTTTTTCGCATTGATGAAAGGTAGAAAGTAGTATTATAAATCACTATATTGACTAAATGCAATTAAAAAAAAACTGTTTCTTTCTCGTGCAGAACAGTAACTATTTTTTTCTCACCAAGGCTGCTGCAGAAGACACAAACCCAGATTACACTTTAGCAAAGGAGAGGATTTACTATAAAATGCAGAGTAAATTTTGCATTACCTTCTTAACAATACACTATAGGAAGTAACATAGTGTATAATACCCTTTATTATTAATTATTAATATTGATAATGTCTGAACTTTGCCAAATTCATCAATTAAACTTCATCAAATTCATCTTGTGTGAATATCTTGTTTTACATAGCATTTGCTATTATTTGCACTTTGTTCTGGAACAAATTATCCATGGAAATGGGGGGACTGCTGTATTTTAATTACGGTTCTAAATACGAATGTCACCTATGTAAAATTCTGCTTGCTATTAACATTTTTATATCAAATTATTGTAAGCAATTCTGAAGTCTTTTGAGTAATAATTTTATTGCAGAGAGCAAGTTGAAGTTTTTCGAGCAAATAAGAAAAAATTGGAAAAATGGTATACAAGTACACAGAAGGTAAGCCAAGTTCTACTGTACTATTTTCTTTAAAATGTTAATATGTTGTAAAGTTTTTGTTAGATCTATTGAATCTTTGGCCCAAATATCATTGTTGTGATTATGCCATCTAATACTTTATATTGTGTCATATTGTTAGCCATTCAGTGGTTGAGCAGTAGAACACTGAGCATTGTGTTTAACCTGGGCTCTAAACCTGGCAAATGGGAATTTTCATAGTTTTGCCTATGTGTATTTGCTAAACACTGGTAGTTTGCTCCGAGATTCAAATCCCATGAGTGGCTAGCTGCATGGCCATTTTTGTGTTTTTTTCCATGTATAACATGTATATGAGCCAGTTTCTCTTAGAAAATTCTCCACGAAAGCATCTCTTTCCTTAGGCATATAGCTATCGAGGCTTAGCCATAATCACATAAACCATTCTCTTTAAAAGTCCCCCATGAAAGCATCCCTTCCCTTAGGCTGATAGCTGTCATGAACTCTGCTATAATACAAGTAATTTAATCCAGTGCTACAAAATATCACGGGCTTATCTGCTACAAAATCAAGATTTTAAGAGATTCTTCTGCATATTAAACCAAAGCAGGATGAAGTACAACAATACCGTATATAATAAGTCCAATCAGTCTGGATTCACAATAGTTCTGTTTGAAAATTTTAAAACAGATTAAATTTTAATTTAACAAAATAAAAGTAAATTGTGAAAAATTTACACAAAGGTATCTTTAACAGGTAAGTGAATTGATTGCCCCTCCTCTTTATACAATCAAGTCTCTTTTTGTCCAGTTAAGTTTTTTAAGTAGTTTTAAAATTATTTGTTATGAAAATGAATAATGAAAAGCTAATAAATGGGGATGAACAGCAGGCTTATAAAGAACAGGATAATGACGACCTGGTTAATACCTGCATGAAAAAGTAACAGCTGAATTACTAACTAAAATTATTGAAATTGTTGAAACTTTGCCAGGACACATTACGGAAGTTGATCCCAATATTGAATACAGCCTTACAAATTGCAAAACAATAAACTATGCAATTTGTTGTAGAGAAAAGACCAAGGAAAACATTTTGCAGAGAATATTGCAATTTTTGGAGATTAAAAATCAAATTACTGAAACATTCATTTTAAGCAATTGTTTCTAATGAACAGATTTGAATTTATTATTTTCATTCTATTTATTACCAAGCAGATAAATATTTTTTGGGGGATCAATTGGTATTTTTTATGTGTTTAGGGGGGGGGCGAATGATTAAGACTGTTGAATATATCGAGTTCGATCCCATACGACAAACCTAGCAGCGACATACAGCATGTTCAGTTCCAACAGCAATGTGCTTGCCTTTTCCCATACAGCACATCAATGTTTGTAGTGTTGCTGATAATCCTTTAGTGATCCTTATACGTAAATAAACAAATTTGTTGCACATTGATCTTGGGCTTTTGAGCTGAAGATTTCACACTTCCTCCTGTTTGCCAAAAATGGAAAACATTTCATTCTAAAATTTTGCGACATCCATTTGCTGCCACCTGAATGCTGTGCCCAGAGATGATGTTCTCACTTGTCACCCCTAGCTACATCACTGATGTGAGAGGTATTTCAGATAGCATGTTGTTTTCATATGATGTCCTTCTGTCATGTACCGTTTGAAATATAGCCAACAGCATTGATTGCCTTATTGCAATATGCTTACCCATGCATGTTTAATATCTCTGTGACTGATTTGCTTAATTTAACTAAAAATTTCTTGTTAATTTGTTCCACCTTTTCTGTCCATCTTGTAATAGAGGACTACCATGCTGGCATAATCACAAAACCACCATTATAACAATTCTGATGTTATCATGGTAATGCCCCTTGGCATGCAGCCTTATCATGATTGTTTGGCAGTATGCCATTTAGCTGCCAGTGCAACTCCACTTTGCTATTTTTTTAAGCAAGCTAAAGAGCCAACCCAGGAACATTTTGATATACTCTTAATATGCTACTAGAAATATCAACATCTAAAACTGCTGCTGTACTGGCTAAGCCAAAACAGTTTTTCTGCCTGACATAACTGAAACACGAAACTATTTGTTATGTCTGCTAATTAGTGCACATATACCTAGATAATTCAAAAATAGACCTGTCTTCATGGCACTTTTCTGTTAAAGCCATACTACTTAGTGCTTTATTTTGGGGAATTCCTAAGTGCCAGTTGTCACTGGTTTGGTTTCTTTTCAGGAGATAAGTGTAGTTATAACCATTGCTTGCACAAGCATATTTTTCATGTAATCTTGCTTTTTCACCGTAATAGACTATTGCTGGGCTCGTATTATTTCACATAATGGACTCATAAGAGCTATTAATTTGCTTCTGCATAACAGTTATTGATTTGCCAAAATAAGAATAAGCAGCTATCCTATTTCCTAATGAAAGAGAAATTCTTCTCAAAGGAAGAATATTTTTGAATAACCATCTCTTATCCATATCTAATCCAAGTTAAAATCTTAACGAAAACCAAAATGGCCATCCAGCTTCTTTCTTGCTAAAGGGGGACATAAAGGTGTCAATAAAAACATGGTTTGTTGGATCACACATTGCTTACCATTAATGTGCTGTATCAGTAGTTGATCTCTGTTGAAATCAGCCATTTGTGATCCTAGAACATCAGTACTATTCTGTATACTTAGCTGTAACTGTGGTTTTAGAAATAAGTTTACATCACTCCATAATTTTGTTGCTTGTATTTTGACTGATGAAAGTGACATAGCTCTTCTTATTATTATTGGGATATACTGCATAAATGCTTAACCATCAACCCTATGAAAAGCAGAAGTCCTTAACTAGTAATGGCATAGCTTTAATTTCAGGTGTTCAATTACTGAGTACCAATCTTGCGTTAATTTTTTACAACTTCATCTTTCACGATGAGCTGATCTATCATTGCATATCTGATAATAATGCGACCTTCTTAGATGCCAATTTTCCCATATCACTTTCTCTGAAGATGCAATGTTGTCTTTCATTCATGTTGCAGGACTTAGGTGAAGAGAATCACTTCCATCATTTGTTAGTCTGTTTATCTATTTAAATACAACCCATACACCCGTCACCATACTGAATCTGTTAATGCATATTTTTAGGTTTCATGTTTTCGCTGATTAGGAATGTCATAACATTTCACTGCTGTTGCTTGCTGCATTGTTTGAAACAATGTCGCCATCATGTTGAATGGTTTCTAGGTTTTTTAACTATGCTGCAGATGTGTGAAAGCCATCGGTTTAATCGAGTTGTTCGCTGTCATTTATACTTAACACATTGTGATTTTAGTTTGTGCAGTGTGTATATGAGTGATTGTATAATTATAATACTGAAGTTTAATAAAATGTAAAGTATTAATTACTATATGTGTAAAATTCTGACTTGCAAAGCATTGTGAAATTTAATAACTAATGTGTAAAATTCTGACTTGCTAATTACTATATGTGTAAAATTCTGACTTGCAAAGCATTGTAAAATCTAATAACTTATTTAATTATTTCAGGAAAAAGAAGGTGGAAGCTCATCAAAAGGAGTTAGTATATATTTTACAATGCTAATTGATGGTTCTTATTTGTACTAGGTAATATAATTAAAAACATTATTTTTCAATTATAGAAAGTAAAAATGTGAAATGTATTTTACAGATCAAAAGATCACTAGTTCTAGAAGATACAGATTCCTCTCAAGGAGGTTAGTTGCATGCTTTTTTTTAATATACATATATATATATTTAACTGCAAATCTGAAAATGTGTTATGTATTAAATTTATGCAACTTATTCCTTTTATAAGAAATGTTTGCTTATAAGAAAGAATAATAGTTGGAGCAATATTAAATTGTAGGCAGTTCATATTTGTAAGAGAATGCAAAAAGTCAAACTGCTGTCAATTTTGAAACTGAAAATATAAGCATTAGCTGCCAACTTTTCCAGATTTTTTATTTATGTATAATTTTTAGCCTTTACTGGTGAAAGTGTTTTTCAGGAATAAAATGAAATTGTGCAAAACTTCAATCCCTCATTTCTAATGATATTCATCATATTTTTTAAAAGTACTTTGATAAATTAAAGCTTTCCATCTCTACTTAGAATTTTCTAAGTGTAAACAATTACAAAATGAAAATAGTTTAGAAATTTAAAATAGGTAATTAAAATGTTTTTCATTGTAATTATATAATACCATTTCCCCCCAAAATAAGACCTAATAAAAATAGCCCTAGCATAATTTTTCAGGGTACTCCTAAATATAAGCGCTAGTTAAAATCATCAACCATTATTTCGTGAATTGGAATGCATCATCTGTAAGTGGATTACTGGCTGAAGAGCAAAATGTTTGGTTATTCACAAAACTGATATTCAAGCATTTGCTGTTGCAGTGCAACCATAGCTAGACATATTGCCAGATGAATTCAGAGCGTTATAACACTGGGTAAATGACTCAAAATGGAAGATACTGAAATGAATAAATGTGCAGTTGCATTCAAGTGTTTCGTTGATGGCATCAACTTCTCTAAGTACCAAATCTTGAACATGATTTCTATAGATGAAACTGCACTATTTATGGTTAAAGTGTCTCAAACTACCATTGATCAGAGGGCTGCCTCTGCTATATATATATATATAGATATATCCCTCCACTGGTTATAAAAGTGTATGCGTTACAAATATTTTGGCAGTTTGTCTCGATGGAAAGAACACCCTTTCTCTAATCATCTGTAAGGGCAAGAAGGCGGAAATTGAACATGTTTCAGGTATTTATATTCTCAAGACTGAAAAGCTGCTTGGTGCACACAAGCAGTAATAAGAAAGTGGGTGAGTTTATTTTTACCACTTGTTTGTGATATAACCAAAGAGGTGTGCTAATGTAGGACTGTGCCAGCACTCACCGTGCTAAAACCGTAAAGAACTTCCTTGCAGAAAGAAGAGCTGATCAAATAATGATTCTCACAGGAATGAGTGCATCTATCTAAACTCTTGATTTTGCATTAAACAAGCCATTTAGGACTATCTACACCAGTGCTCCGCAACCTTTTCTCACCTGTGACACACAAAAAACCTTTCTGGAATTTCGTGGCACACCAAAGAGTTCCGAGTTATCAAGGATGCCGAAAAAATTCAAATGCTGACACACTTACAATCATACACACAACCACACAACAGTGAAATATATAAAAACATTTAAAATAGACATTATTAAGGGAAAAAAATTGTCATTGTGTATTAAATACATGATAAAAAATTGCAAAATGTCAAATACATGTATTTGATTGCGGCACACCTATATCCTACTCTCGGCACACCAGTGTGCCGCGGCACACCGGTTGCGGAGCACTGATCTACACAACAAAATCAATGACTCCATTGAAAATAGAATGGAGAGAAATGAATGAGCATATTCCTTTTTTATTTCCTTCAAATGTGATTAATGAACCTTTTTTTCCCTCTCTCTCTTTCTTATGGTCAGGAATGACGTTTTATTCTCTCTTATGCAAATTCAATAGAAGTTTCATTCCTTCCCATTATAAGCAAGTGAGTTCTGCAATTTAATCTCATGTCTCTGATCAGTGAAACAATAAGATAAAGAATAGTACAGTCAAAAGTCGTTAATTCAGACACCCATAATCCGGAATGATCTATAATCGGGACCTCAAAGCTAAAAACTTTCTGCGCATGCGGCCGCGTTGTCACATGCACATAGGCGTTTACGCGTGCGCGTAAGACTTTTACGACTGCGCATATGCATGTGCGTTTTATGTACGGTATAAGCTAAAATTATCTAATTATCTATTTCAGTTAATGTTGTTGATTGCGTTGTTCCTTAATCTTCGAATTGGATCCGCCTTATTATTTTTTGCAGACTGTAAGAGCTATTTTATAAAAGTAAACTGGAACTTTTGATTATGTCAAATAGAATTTGCAATGCTGGAGCTCCCAAAGGATCTACAAAACGAAAGTATGTTTCGATGTCCATCAAACAAAAAGTGGAATTGCTGCAAAAAATGAATAAAGACATGAAGAAGGTGACAGAGAGGTTAGTAAAAACGAAAAAATTTCGATTGACAAGTTAGTCGGTATTCTCGGAACAGCAATTACGAGACTTGAATAGCGGAACTTTGTAACTGAACTAGAAATTATGTCTGTTTATAGAATTAAAGAGAAAGTATTATCACGTAAAACGAAGCAACTTAAACAACTTACATTGAAAGAAATGTTTAATAAAGTAAACAAATAAATATTAAGCTTTTTTTTTGTAAATTTTGATACCCTTTAGATCATAATTGTTCTTTATTTCATAAATTACGGTTTCATATTTTTAATTTTAGAATTTCTGCATGCATTCTTACGAGATTTAAACTGATGATAGATAATCCGGAATCGCCGAAGTCCCGACGAGCCCGTATTAACGACGAGTCCGGATTAACGACTTTTGACTGTAGTTCAGATGAAACTTCAGACATGTTTATAACACTACCCAAGTTGAGAATGCAGTGCACGTATATACGTGCAGCGACACTTATCAGTGTGTGTCATAAGAAATATTCATTTTATTACATCTGGTTGCTATTTTAATTATGGTTTTGTTTGTCTTTTGTGCCTGAAAATTTATAATAAAATTTTTTATATGTGTAACCTAGCCATAAAGTTATGTTAGTTTAGCAAAGATATTGGAGAAGCTATTGATAATGGTTCCTAAGTTTTATCCATTTTGATTTTAGCCAATTTCAGGTATAAGAAATAAATTTCAGTTCCATTCAATTTTTCTTATACTAAGAGTTAACTGCTTTTATGCTGTAGAAGTCTATTGAAGTAATTAATTTCAAATTATAAACTGTTAGGCTTTCAGTTTAACTAAGGCAAAATGTTGAAGATAATAATAGCATGAGTAAAAACTTGTAAAAAAGGGTCATTAAAGAAAAAAGTATTCTTTTAAATATCCTTTGTAGCATTTTAAAGATTATTTTAATTCCAGAAGAGTGGTATGTTTCATGCCTGGTGCTAGCATCTTTCATTTAACGAGAAGCAGAAATAAATTCCCGAAGAAACTATTAGTGAAACAATAGCAAATAAATGCATGTATTAACAGTTGAAAAATCATAATAAATAAATTATGTTTAATCCTTTCTGAACATTCTAGAATTTTTGTCTTGACCTGCACACCTGTGAGATATGGGGTAAGGGATATATTGTTAATTTTCAATTCCATTACACTATTAATTTATATGAAACAAAAGAAGTAAATAATGGAATAAATTACAATAAAAGCAAAGCAGACAATTGTTATGTTATTTGGTTAGGATAGAAGATGTAATTATGATTTACGTTTTTACTGAAATGCCATTCATGCATCATAAATTATTAAATATTAATCATTAGAAGTTGCTTGTTATATTTCAAGGTTTACACTCACCTAGAAAAATCCTGTAAAGTGAGGGAAATGAAAAATGCTCATGGAAAGTTAGTGAAAATAAAAGTGGTTCTTTCCATAAACAGGATGGCACTTAGCACCAAATATAAATGTTGGCAGCCTAACTAAAGATAGGAAGGCAACCCTCATAATATATCCAAAGCTTCACAAAAAGAGTATCTAAAATTATGTTAGTAAATAAAAAATAATACAAAACCAGAAGTAGGGAAATTCATGAATAAGAACACATGAATACCAGTCTGCAACTGCAGTTTATGGAATTGTACTAACACATGCACTTGCTACCATAAATAAATAAAGCAAATAACCTGTCAGGAATGAATGTATGATCTTTTGAATCAATATCCACTTGGTAAAATTTTCATAATAAAAGTTTTTCTGTGCACGTTTATCTCTGCAACATACATTTTTCTTTTTGTGATTTTTCAAGCAGTGTTTCAGTATGGATACTTTTGTCTTGGTAAAAATAAATCATGACTTTTTTGGTAAATGACATAGTCCATGTTGATTTTTTTTTTAATGGGGGAAAAACGTTTTGTCAAAAAAGCAACTGAAAAATCTTAAAAGAAAAAATTGCTGGACTGATCAGTGCTCATTCTTACTTATAATGATGCTACTGGTAACGGGAAATAAATAAGTTGGCACGTCACGCAATTAAAACTGGCAACTTGTTTAACTGAAAAGTACCTTATAAACATTTTTCAAAAGTCAAGAAAAGTGTAGAACTTCCTCAACCTTCCATAAAGATCAGGGCACTTTAGAAAAAAAAAAAAAAAGTGTGCGGATTAATCTTTGCAAGCAATATTGGGTTCTCCAAAAAGTTTCGTGATGTTTTTCATGATAAGTACAAAAACAAAGAAAATTTCATTGAATCTCATAAGCACCATTTTTTCCTCGACTTTTTGCCATCGCTTCTGCTGCTGGAAAATTCATTTATTAAAAGTCATTAGGTTTATTTGTAAAGTAGTTATTAAAATATAGTGTGGCAGTTTCCAAAGAAGTGAACTCAAGTCTGTTCAGAGAATTTTGAAGTGACTCGATGAAAGTCTGAGGGGACGAAGTCTGGTAAATATGCGAAGTGTTGCCAAAAAACATCCCTGCCACACTGTCTTTATTTGACATTCATCAAAATGTGAGCAAAGCATTGTGGAAAATAAATTTTGACAGTTCATCAGTTTTGGGTACAGTGCTTCAATTTCTGATTTTAAAACTTCCATGTGGTAATAGTAATTTTCCAGTTGTATTGTCAGATTAGATGGAAACAAT